CTTTTCTGTAGCTTTCATAGCACAATCCTTCTGACCCAAACACAATCCAAAAACCAGTTCAAACTCTGGCCTCTCCCTGCCAGATTGACTGTCTCCCTGTGAGTTCCAGGCAGATGTCAGAGGTAGGTTCTTTACACACAGTGGTCGGTGCATGGAATGCGCTGCCAGCGGTGGTAGTGGAGTCAGATACATTCGCGACATTTAAGTGACTCTTGGATAGGCACATGGATGATAGTAAAATATAGGGTATGCAGGGTAGTTTGATGATAGAGTAGGATAGGTCGGCACAACATCGTGGGCCGAAGGGCCTGTACTGTGCTGTACTGTTCTGTGTTCTATGTTCTATCTACTATCTCTTTGAGCATAAGGCCTCTCTGGAATGGAAGTGTCAATAGAACACTTAATAAACAAGAAGTAACCTGCAATTAACTTTTAGGCCTGACCTCAACAGCAAATAACAATTTGATCCTTTTTTTTTAAAAACAACAAGCTGCTGCTCACAGTCAAAAGGTCACCTTGAGCTCTCAGCTCATAGTTCACATCTCCAAACCAAAGACTAAAATTATGAAAAATCAGTGAGAGTTCTAAAACATTGGAGGAAGGTTGTGCTAGCGATCTGTCAATTATTCCTCTACCTTTCCCGACTTTGGGTTGCTAGGGCTCTTGACATCATATTTGGTCAAACATCTTGATGTTAAGATTAGTTTCTTTGTCTGACGTTTAGCTCTTCCATCCATATCCAAATCAAATCTATTATGAATTCTATGGCTAAGCAGTTCAATTAGAAGCTAAACTGAGCACTGTTAGCAATAGTTTGGTGGTGTTTGATTGCTGCAGATAGCACCTTTAATTGCTCTACTGACAGCTGGACAACTGATAGGGTAATAATTGACCAGTTTAAATTTATCATGTTTTTAGTGGGTTGGAATTAATTGGGCACTCATCAAAATTGTCTGGGATGCCAGTATCATAGCTGTGCTTGAAGAGGGGAGTTGATTAGCTTAGGTATACAGGTCTTCAAGGCTCAGAGCCTTTATTGTATTCGGTAAACTTGGCTGCTTAATGTTATGTAGGGTCCCCAGTAGGAAGCTGAGTAACCTAATCCATTTGGAATTCTAACTATATGCTTTGTGCCTTGTTTTGCACTCGTTCTGGATTCCACCTTATTCTATAATGGAGATGTTTATGGACCCTCCTGCTTGTTTCCTGTAATGTGGAGGTACCAGTGTTGGATTGGGGTGGACTAAGTCAGAAGTCACAGGACACCAGGTTATAGTCCAACAGGTTTATTTGAAATTACAAGCTTTCGAAGCATTGCCCCTCCATCAGGTGATGTCACCAGATGAAGGGTCTGCGCTGTAAAAGCTTGTGATTTCAAATAAACCTGTTGGACTTCAACTTGTTGTGTGACTTCTGACCTTGTTTACTGTAAATGGTAGAATTGTAGAGGTTTTCTTTGATCTCCTGATTTGATTGGTTTTCTCTTCTGTAGTAGCTATTTTTATTTTTTATTATCCCCTGCATACACTTGTTATGAAGCAATCAGTTAGCTTGGTTGGCTGGACAGCTAGTTTATAATGCACAGTGATGCCAACAGCGTGGATTCAGTTCCATGAAGGCTGACTTGCTCCTTGCCTCTGGTTAACTTCACTACCAGTCATCTCTCTCTCATGAGAGAGTACAGCGTTATGGTCCTCTGGGAATTTGGTATCTACTTCTACTGTTATGCACTACTTGTTTCAGTCATTCTTATGGTATAAAAAAAATGACATTTTCACCACTTGAGTAAGGAGGTTTCTTCTGGACTCCCTATTGGGCTTTTTTTTGTTTTTTGTCGCTATCTTAATTGTTTCCAATTGTGGGGAAATGTGTCTCCCTTTTCTTAACAAATCTTTAAAAGAAACCCAGCCTGATGGGTACACGCAAGCATTTTTGGTATAAATGTTTCTTTACACGTTCCAGTACACTTTTTAATCCTTTTTATAACATGGCCATCAGAATTTCATGCAAAATTTTTAAGTGCAATCTGACTAAAGTTTGGTTTAGATTTAGCATAAGTTCCCTACTTTTCAATTCTATCTTTATAAAAATATAGGAACCTAGGAATAGGAGTAGACCATTCAGTTCCTCGAGCCTCTTCCACCATTCAATGAGATCATGGCTTTTGTTTGGCCTAGCTCTATATACCTGTATTTGGCTCATATCTCCTTGTACCATTGCTTAAAAAAAATTATCTGTATTAGATTCAAAAGTAACAACTGATTCAGCATTCTTGCTGTTTGTGGAAGAGATAGTTCAGATAAATGTGAGGTGTTGCATTTTGATAAGGTAAAGCAGGGGTTAACCAAACTTTTAATGGTAGGGCCCTGGGGAGTGTTGCCAAACAAAGAGACCGAGAGGTGTGGATGCATAGTTCCTTGAAAGTGGAGTCACAGGTAGACAGGGTGGTGAAGAAGGCATTTGGCACACTTGCCTTCATTGGTCAGTGCATTAAGTATAGGAGTTGGGATGTCATGGTGCGGGCATTGGTGAGACCACTTTTGGTATACAATTCTAGTCGCCCTTACAAAGGAAGGATGTTGTTAAACTTGAGAGGGTGGAGAAAAGATTTAGAAGGATGTTGCTGGGCCTGGAGGGCTTGAGCTAGAAGGAGAGGTTGAATAGGCTGGGGCTTTCTTCCCTGGAGTGTCGTAGATTGAGGGGTGATCTTAGAGGTTTATAAAATCGTGGATAGGGTGAATAGTCAAGGTATTTTTTCCTAGGGTGGGGGAGTCCAAAACTACAGGCCATAGGTTTAAGGTGAGAGGGAAAAGATTGAAGGGTCTTTTTCTGTGCTGTATGACTGAGTGATTTTTCCAATTTTCCAATCCACAGGGGTGACTTCTGTATCTAGGGACCTCTGTAGGCACCCTACTATAATCTTTCCTGTACTTCCTTTAATACCCTTGGATGGAAGTAGTCAGGGATAGGAATCCCAGGGATTTGTCAATCTTTAATTCCATTACTTTCCTCATTGCCGATGTTTTATTTGTGTTAATTTTATTCAGTTCCTGTTCCTGATCTACTGTCAATTTCCTTGGGACTTCGGCAAACTATCCTCCTTTTCTATTGTAAATACCATGGCAAAGTATTATTCAACATGTCTGCCATTTTCCCATAGTCATTGACAATATCCCTGCTTTCAGACTTTAGTGGGCCAACATTGCTCTTGACCACCTGCTTTCCCTCTATAGAACTATAAAATTCTTTCTTAGTGATTTTGATATCCCTAGCAAATTTCCTTTCAATAACCTCTTTTAGTAACTCTTATAAACTGCTTCATGGGCCTTTGGTCTTTGTATCTTTCCCATTCAGCAAGATCTGTGCTTTTTTTTTTTTGCACTTTTGTAAGCCTTTTTAGTTTAATGCTGTCACTTATCTCTTTAATTGTGCCTGGCTTTTTTTTGTTTCTTTGAAGCCCAGTACATGTTTTTTGTGGTCTTGCGAATCTGTTGCGCAACTTAGTTATTGCTGTATTTGTACTTTGTTCCTATAGTCATCTCGACTTGCCACTTCCAGGTAATAATTGATTCTCACCAAAATGTACTACTCAGATTTATGTGCGTTGAACTCCATTTGCCTATTCTGGAAGTTTATTAATATTTTCTTGTAATTTGTTGCAGCCCTCTTCAGTATTCAATCTCCCATTCCCAATTTGGACTCTTCTGTAAATTTAGTAATTCCGTTTTTGTTTTCAAAGTCCAAATTGTTAACATAATTTGAGAACAGCAGTGCTCTCAGCACTGATCTTTTGTGGAACACCTCCTAACATCTATCGCCCTGAATTTACCTTTTATACTTTTTATTGAATACCTTTTATCTCCACCCTTTGCTTTCTGCCCTGAAGCCAAATAGCAGTCCATTTGTCTCCTGACTTGGCATTTTCAGACATTAGTAATTTTTCTGTTCTCTGAAATGTTTTTGAAAAATCGGATTAATTGCATCTACCATATTATCATTTTCTATTGTCTCTGTTACCACCTCAAAAAATTCCACAGGTTGGTCAAGGAAGATTTTAGCTTTCAAAATCATTGCTGACACAATATTTCACATTTCTACGTGTTCTATTCTTTTGTAGGAGAGTTTAGTAGTAGTTTGCACTTTTTTTTAACCACCAATGTTAAGCTGACTTGTCTATAATTTTTTTATGACTTCAGATATTTTTGTCTGTGGTAGGTAGGCCTGGTGCATTCCCAGATAGCTAGCTAAATTTGTATTGTGGCCAGGAAACATTTTTTTTCCTGACTTTAGATATCTACTTCATTACATGATCATCTTTTTCTTTAGACAGTGGTAAAACAACATTACACAAGCATTTTACTTAGGTTTTACTTTACTGTCGAGAACACTTATTACGCATGCAATGCTATGCAATTAGTGACAGTAATGGCCCATGTTTTTACAGTAGTTACTTTTTGATAGCTTCCCAATATAAGATTTAATAAAGACCCTGTGACTGCTATTGCTAAACATAGATTAAACAATATTGCTAGATAGCAGTTGCTTTTTTAAAAATCTTTCACATTCCCTGCCTAAAGGAATAACTAAACCTGACTACCTCTTCATTAAAAGTTTCTGACAGATTAAATATGTTCCAAAAGTGACTTGTTTGAATAAATTGTATTCAGAAAAGCCACTAATTCAAATAAATAATTGAACATGTATTTTGATGAGACTATACTGAAGGACTTCTCTCATTTGGACACCAGTGTCAGTCAAACAACCAATTCTATGATACTTCTATCAAGTTAAATTAAGTTTTGGAAAATAAGGAGGAATGAAACAGGTAAGAGAGAGAGAGAGAAACTTATTTTTATCTTGCAATGTCTTCAGTGTTTATTGGATACAGTAGTTTCTAGTACATCTTGGAGAGGGAGTTTCAGCACTTTTCTTCCACTTCAAAAGAGAGTTTCAGTGTACTTAGTCTAAAATGAGTATCTATTATTTTCTCTCCTGTGCAGACAGCCCACGGGTTGTGGATCCCAGTATTCCTTTAGTGGCTCGTGAGATTATGCATCGAATGATCAGGCAATTTGCTGCTGAATATACCTCAAAAACCAGCACTTCTCAGGACTCCCTAGTACTCGCCAGCACTAAGGACCAAAGTGCATCTAAAACACCTGTGCTCGGTGCCAGTGCTCTAAATCCTGTTTTAAGCAAGCTTCTTATGGCTGACCAAGATAGACCTTTGGATCTAACTGTCAAAAAGTCTAATCTTGAATCAGACAGTCAAGGTAAGACTGCGATTTAAAATGTCTTCTAACCAATTATATGTATCTGTGGTAGCTTTTATTTATTTGCAATGGTTTTTTTAAGATGGTGAAATGGGATGGGTATTCCAATGGAGCAATGTGATTATGTTAAGTCAGTGTGGTTTTTTTAAACTAATTGTCTGTTAGAAATCATTGATTTCTCCCCCCTCCCCCCACCCTTCCCCAACCCCTTGTTAATGTGGGCTTTCAGGAGCTGCATGATCCCTGCATCCTTGGTTTTGACTTGCAGTGAGGTACATCTTGTTGTAAAGAGAATAGCTTGGATTTTTGTCAACGGGTCTCGTGAGTCGTGAGAATGCCAAGCTCCGCATACCTGCCTTTTAAAAGTGACTGCTTGAGGAGACTGATTTTTGAATTCAGGAACTTTTTTGAGAGGGGAGTGGAGTTGCTAAATTAGAAGTCAAGGCTGTCGACCCAGAAAATATGAGGAGGGGGCTAGTGGGTGGCTTGGGCTGGGAGGATGACCTGCTTTGGGGCTTGTGCACTGTCTCCAAAAAGTTAGTAAATAGAATAAATCATGAAATAGCCCTCACACCGCACACTTCTGTGCCCCCTCTGTCACCACCGTCTTCCCTTCTATAAACCATGCCAACTCACCCAATTCTCAATAGGCAGACCTCAGGACCTATGCAGAGCTGCAGAGATAGGATAGAGTAGAGTTCTGGTGTCTATAGCGGACTTCACTATCTTGAAATATTTACACTCATTCATTCATAAAACCCATTCACTGCATTTACATTGCTTCAAATACATTAAGGTTTATCACAACAAATATTTAATTCAAGTGCACAATCCCTTTTAACAACAAACATTGGAATTTGTGGTCCCACTTTAATGAGACTATAACTACTTGTAGCTCTCAGTCAAACTGTGAAGTGGCAGTCACTGTATAAAATAATGGATAGTTGTCAAATGATTCACGAATCCATAATTCATTAATGGAAGCCTTGGGGTTATGTTAACAGATGACCTTAAATAGCAAGCATTGATTTAAAATTTCAGACACTTCCATTCAAACATTTAAAGTGCAAGACTTCTAAGTGCCTTGACAACTTTACAGCTGTCTTCACTTTCAGTTTATTTTGATAGTCTCTCATAATACTTTTGATAGTACTAGTTGATGGTTGTTTTTGCATTAGTTTGGATATGCAGTGTTTGCACATTTATTCCTACCTCAGTAATTCCAAAGGGCTCCTCACATCTCCCAAAAGGTATATGACCCCTCTCCCTCCCTCCCACCCCACATGGCAACTTAGCTTCCTCAAAACTCTTACTGACCATATCCCAAGGATTATGTACTTCTCCAAGAGAGACTATCTGGACCATCTAAAGAATATACAAAGTTTAAGGTGTCCTTCCCAGGTCTACTGTGCATATTTAGGATCTCTCAGTCCCGGGCTCCTAAAATGCAATTTGACCAAAGGGAGCTACCTCCGCCAACCATCCTCATTCCTACCCTGTGAAAATGGTAAGTAGTATGTTTGGTGTCAGGACTTGCAATTTCCAGACCTGTCTACTGTTTCACCTTGAGAGAAAGGTTGTTCATTGTGGCAAAAATTCAAGTCTATATTTCAGCTGATTTCTGATTTAAAATCCTGAGATCACAGATTGTAACATTTCAAAATGAGATTTTACATTTGGATTTCCTTCTACATATATTTAAAAAAAATTTTTTTTACGCTCTTAAATCTCCCTGCCTTCCAAAGTACTACTCTTACCTGAGATAGCTCCTCTCCTTGTATTGTCTCCTAATTCTTTAGGGATACTAAAGACTAATTTTAACTTGTTTGTATTTTATTGTACATTCCCAATGATATACCAGTGTCTTGTAAAATTAAAGGTAAAAATACTTGTATAAAATGAGAATTTTAAGTGAAGCAGCATGCAACTTTTTAAAAAAAAAAAAAACCAGACTGGAAAGGATCTAGCATCAATTTCTATTTATAATTTTTAAAAATTGAGTTTAGAGGCTATTACGTCAAGGAGAAGAATTTTATTCCTAATTGCAGTCTCATGATCCCCAAATTATATGTTTATGAAGATCAAGTGTAAAGACCATATCGTTTTATTTTCTGTATTTTTGAATGTGAACTAAAATGAAACAAGGACTGTTTTAAAACCAAGGACTGTGGAAGGAAGTGCTGCAAATTTTAAAAACGTTACTGAAACTCAATGTGTGTGATGTTTGCACTGCTGCTTTGTTCACATAGTTGCAGAAGGGTGGTGGTTAGAGATTGTACAGCATTGGGATGTGCATGTATGGAATGAGATTTGTCCATCAACAAATAGCTGATTGATTTGTGCAGTTGTGACCAGTTGTGGATGCTAAATTCAGATTCATTGGATGCGTTCTTTTTGATAGGTAAAGCAAAATGTGGCAAATGTTGAAAATGGAATTTGGGCTGTCGGGATCTGAAAGGTTTTTTTTTGGATGAAATCACCAACACTTTGTCTTTAAGGATCCTGACACTTTGTTTATATACAGCCAATTTGAAGTTGGTTTGCTTTTTGAGTTTGGGACTGATCACTTTAACTCTGAGTAAGAGGTTTTTGGTAGGTGGAGTTTGGCTCTATTTATTTTAAGTCGTCAAAATAACATATTTCGGCACAGTTTAATGATAACTTTTGTGAATGGTATTAAGATGGAGAGTGGCTGCTAAATTCCATAAACATCATTATTATTAAATTCCTCATTTTTCCAAAAGTACAAAATATTTAAAATAGAATTTGAGTTATTTTAGTGCCTTTCATAACACCAATGTAACAATCCTCTGAAAGACAATTCCCTAAATATATTGGAATGAGTTACAAAGAAGCAACTTTGTTGCCTTGAGCAAGTTTACAGCCTAGAAGATGGACACATTCCTGAGAATTTTCAGTCTTTTGAGAAGCCAGAGCCAAAAGATCAGCAGGATGCTGGGTAGCACTAGGCAATGACCCTTATGGCTGTCAGGAAAGAACAGGACAGATGCTTGTTAACAAGTGGGATTCAGGGCAATTAAAATGACCCCAAGGGATTACTATGGACAGGGAGGCTAGTTGGGCTGAAAGTTTTCTGGGGTGTGATAAACTTATTACAGTGTGTTGAAAACGGTCAGAAGGACAAAATGAAATTGAGACAGGTGTACAGCTTGAGAGGTGAATCTAATGGTAAGAAATTATTTCAGTAACCATTGTAAAAGACCCCCATCTTTTTATTCTTTGGGCTATGGATTGAAATTGAGAAAAATGGATATTGCCTTTTAAAAAGAAAGTACGTGCAATGAGTTTGCAGTTAGAAAAACAAGTAAAGTTAACTGTATATAAAGCGATGTTACTTTTGGGCATATTGAGTCCAGACCAACTGACTCCATTTGTTATGGGTTCAGGGGAGTTCAGCATAGTTAACACCCTGTGGTCTGGGGAGTGAAACAGAAAGAAGCATGGAGACCTCCAGAAGTCAGGTCCATAAATTATTCTCTGCTTTCTTTTGTAAAGCTGCTTTATCCCATTATCTGTTGAAAAGCAGATAATTTGGAGATGCTGAAAGAAATTTTTTTAAAGCAAAAAAAAATCAGAAAGACTATGGGTCCAACCAGTGAACTATTGACTGATTATTGCTGTAGAGATAATATCAAGGACTCATCAAAGAATCAACAGTATTTTCAAGCCAGCCTGTCTGGTTTTGTGATTTAGATTGGTGATACAAAATGTGAGGTTCTCCTGACTTTTTCTTCCCTTCCGCTCCTATTATGTTTTGGCTGTTTTGCCTTGTGTGTGCAAATTTGTGTGTATATTGCTTGGTGGCAGAACATGTGCTTTTAAATGGAGGGGAAGTTTAAGACACAAATTAGAAATCCTTTTCTTTTACTGTTCTTGTTAAGACAGCTACAAGAGTTCTTTTTTTAAACTGTTACTGAAGAAACTTGGTGTAGTTTGCTTTTGTCCTGGGTGGCAGCCAGTCAAAGATAAATTGGAGTTTTTGGTAGGTTCATTAAATTTCCATATTTGTGGTGAGTCAGAATAGTGGGGGTTCATTTTCAGCACATTGTGCCTTGATACTATTGGAACAACTTCAATTTGCATAATGCTCTTAACTTTCCAGCAGATTAGAAACAGGCTAACTTGATACCACTTTGCAAAAAAAGTGAAACAATGAGTATTGACAACATAGAACTATTGTAGTTGTCATTTCACTCTATGTATAATAGTGGAATCTATGCAAGAGTAATTTGAGCATTCAAAATTTAGTAAATTGAAAACACCACGGATTAGAAACAGCAGAATCTCCAAGGCATTTCTAAGAAAATGGCAGCTTAAATAGCCATATATCTGCATTTAGAGTTCCAAAGAGCATTTGATAAGATCCACTTAGAATTTAAATGATGGGAATTTAGAATAAATCTTTGTTAGAAAACAAGTGTTCTTATTGGAAGAATTATGCTGGAGTTTGTGAAATATTTAGACAAGTGTCCAAGGATCAGTTTCAGCATTATTATGGTTTCTAATTTACTTGAATGACTTGGATTCAGATAAATTGATACCAGCTGCAAATTTTAGGGGACAGTATTTGGCTGGTGGCAACACTGAAGTTGAAGTTTAAGAATGCAGAAAAATGACAGATAGAACCTTTCGCAGACAAGCATAAAATTTTTCAGAATTTAAAAAATTAAGTATTCCTTAGATGCTGTTGAACTAGTTAAAGAAGGTTATTAGAAAGATCAATGAATTTCAGCACTTTTGATTTTTCAAATATATAACCAATATAGAACAATATAAAATTGAATAATGCTCAGGTTAGATTATCCATTGAGTAGTACGTCCACTTCTGGCCATTTCATTTTTAGATGGTGCCTGAAATAATAATACAGTAATATATTTGTGCTTTGTCACTTTCAACTCAGTGTGTTTCTTTTAATGCAGTTGCCATTTAGAAAATCAGTGTTATGTTGTTATCCAAACAGCTTTGCATAAATTAAGATATTCTGTTTTTCCTAGTAAAATAATGAGTAACAGCATCGAACTGGAATTCAGATTGGGAGAGGAAAAAATAACTTATCTGTGGCTATGGACTATATTCAGTGAAAGTTGTTGGAAGTGGCCAATGCATATCCAGGAGACAATATTGAATGTTGACAGCAGGCCTAGTTTCTGTATCACTGGAAAGGAGATACGTCCTGCTGCTTTGGAAATAATCATTCTGATGTTTGGTTATTGTCAGCATTAAAATTGTGGAGCTTATGGTGCTGTTAGCTTGATTGTGACTTTAAAAAGCTATAATCATGAAATTGTCTCACGCAGTTGATGGTGTTTCACTTGAAACAATCAGATTTTTATTTTCTGCTAATTTCATTTCTTAGTATTTTACACAGACACATCCAAAGATTGGCCGTGGAAAATGCAGGGTTATTGAAGTAGGGTCGGGGAGGGCTCTGGGTGGATGATCTTTGGAGGTTCGGTGTGGACTTGACGGGATGAATAGCTTGCTTCCACTTTGTAGGGATTCTGTGATTCTATGTAAGCAGGTTTAAAGAAACGTGCAACTATTCCCTTACCCAAATCTGTCAATCTGGACTTTTTGATTTGTTTCCTTTTCCAGATGCAGTGCTTGATCTGTCTACTAAGAAAAATCCTTCTGCCTGCAATGTTTCCACAGATAAGACTCTGGGTTGTTCTACATCTACTATTCTAGCTAAAGGGTGAGCATGAAGTTTGCCTTTATTGTGTCTTTTAAGCATTTTCTTCTTCTTTATTATTAGTTTGCAATAGGTTTATCACTGAGAACGCTGGGTATTCCTTCTGCTATATCCTGAACTAAGGAATTTTCTTTTTTAAAATTTAACAATGCAACAATAGCAAGGCATTGGTGGGTAACCAGGAAATAAATCCAATCTCCATTCAACGTAAAAATTAGTTGCAGAGTGAACTATAATTGATTTACTACCTTTTTATCTAGGTGAAATAAAAACTTCTTCCCTTCTATTTCTGTAGAAGTCATTTATTTTTGGTATTTTTCCATTCTTTTGGGTATTTTATCAACCTTGTTTGCTTGATGTAGTTAGTCATGATAAATAAAATAATCCTGTTTCCCTTACAGACTTGATAATCAGAGTTTAAATCTTGAATATAAATGAAAGTGCTTCAGAATTTGCTTCAAAAACAGTATTCAGTGCATCAAGAGTTGTATTTGTTCTATGGACATTATTTCAGACCATCTAAACTCATTCAGAACGTTCCAAGAAAAGAATCAATATATTCAAAAATTCAAAGGCCCAATGCCTGATGCACAACGAATTGGAAAGAAGCAGAAACTGTTTAACTGCCTTTCACTTATAATGATATGTCTGAGCATTTAGCCTAATTGATGGTGTTCTGCTGTTTTCATTATACAAGACTTCTGTTCCCAATGTAGTATATTCTTTGTAATGTTACTGATGACAAACATCTGTAAAATACAATTTATAGTGGTACATAACATTTGGAATTTCTTAATGCATTGTAGAATTGAGATTAAAACAAAATTCTAATTTGCTTAGATGCAAGGATGTATGCCAAGCATACAGTTAATCTGATTTTCAACAGTACAGAAAATGAAAAGAAATCCATCTGAATACCACTCCACTGAATTCAATGAACAACATGAGCATGCATCCAAGAATTTACAGTATCTTAGTGCTTCCTAGATCTTTTTAAATGGCTCACATTGAAAGGATAAGCAACTGGGATTGCCAACTCTCCAGGAATGTCCTGAAGTTATTAGGAATTAAAAATTAATGTCTTGGACACTGATGTGAACAGTGCAGAAGACTGGGAATAATTGAGAGGAGATGGAGGAATTAGGATAGGGCTGTGCTGGGAAAGAAGGATACGGGAATAAGATTTGGGAGGATTGAGAAAGAGACGTGAAACTGTGAATGGGATAGGGTGAGAGTAGCAACATTTTCTGCAGATCCAGCAAAGTAATGAGAGAAACACCAATTTCAAAGCAGCTATTTAAGGAATGAGTGAAACTTTGATGTTGCTGTGATTAAACAGGAATAGAATCTGAGGATTCCTACTAGAAAAATTGAGAGAGGGGGAGGAGAAGGATTTTTGAACCGTGTCGATTGGATGCTTCAGTGCGCGTGACTATTGAAGTAGACTTACCCCATTCTTTTTTTTAAAATGATATCTAAGTTTTTAAAAAGGAAAAAATTGGAAGAATTGGGGGAGGATGGGGTTGCAGAATATATTCAAGGTGACCTTGTGCTGCAAGTTCTCTCATTTTATGAAAATAGTTTTTGTGGAGTATTTTAGAAAACTTGGTGCTGAACCAAGCTTAGAACAGCCTGTGATAAATGCTTGAAATACCAAGTCACTTGCTCTTTGCGCAGTGGTTTTGTTTGGTTTATGTTGGTCCATTGCAACTGATTTTGACTTGTCAAGTCCAAGTCTAAGTGCTGGAAAGCTCACAAAGAACTGGAGTCCAAGTAGATAAGGTTTGGTGTTATTGTGCACCCACACATCAAATTAGATCAGAACTTGTATTGGCACAAACGCTGCAGAATATAACCTTAGCTGTGACTTTAAGAAAGCTACTGCTCTATACAAAAAAGTATTATAATGGTATTGTATCAGTAAGATAGTCTGGGATCTCATGATCTTATCACAGGATATTACTTTGCAGCCAAGAAGCATTGAGGGTAATGCTTGTGTCACTAGCGCTTGTAAACTAAGCTCAGTAAATTCAGCAATGATCCAGTATTCAGTCTGGGATTTTCTGGTGTTAATATTTCAGTATTCGGCCACATTTTAAAAATATATCTTCCCCTGGTTGATAAGAGTGCAGATACAAACTGATGAATATAGCTGTAATCCTACAGACAGGCATGTCTCACAATTGCTTCTCAGTCTACATTATAACTAACTTCAGTAGGATAGAAATGGAAGGCCTGCAAATTGGCTTCTGTGACAAAGGGCTGAGGAACATTGCCTCTTCCTCACTGTTGTTCCCTTCAGTACAGGGTTACCATTTAAACTTACTTTACAAATATGATTTTGTCAGGATAGCATTGACATGCTCTTTCAAGTTGCTAAAATAATATTAAATGTCCACTGTCCCTATATTACAGAATGATTACATTTTGAATGTATTTCATTGGCTAATGATGTATTTTGGGGCTTTCTTACATAATGCATTTTGCAATGTAAATTCAATTTCTTTGTGTTAACCGTTTTTTTAAACGTTTCAACTTCCTTGTGATGAAAGCTGGCTTGTGCAGTGTGTTGTGAAGGATGTGGATTGTTTGCTTTATTTTGTGGGCTACTTTTAATGCTTTTTTTTCTTGGTACAGCTAAGGCCAAATAACTAACAAATCATTTTACAGTCTTTCTGAAAAGTTTAGCACTGCACATTACCTGCATTAAAATATTGACAAGATTGCTTGTGATCAGGAGTTAAGTAAATTGACAAAACACAGGCCCATTGGAAGAGTAGGAGTTTCGGATTAACCTCTTAATTTCAGGATATTTAGTTTTTCGAGCAAAACACATTGCCTTTTTTACGAAAGATAATTTGCAATATAGAACTGCAATTGTTTACAAAAGTCTGAACAAAATGCAGTGTAATATTATAATAGATTACAAATTGGACAATATTGTATTCTGGAAAGGAATAGTCATTTGTAATGTCAATTTTATTTGTCATTATTGGATTCCTTCTATTAATAATACGGTGATAATGTAATATCTTAGTGTCATACAGCATGGAAACAGACCCTTTGGTCCAACTCATCTGTGCTGACTGAACATCCCAATCTGACCTCAGTCCCATTTGCCAGCCTTTATCCCAAGTTGCTCTAAACCCTTCCTGTTCATATACTCATCCACTGCCCTTTAAATGTTCTAATTGTACCAGCCTCCACCACTTTGGCAGCTCGTTCCATACACGCACCACCCTCTGCATGAAAATGTTACCCTTCAGGTCCTTTTTAAATTTTTCCCCTCTCACCTTACCCCTATGCCCTCTGGTTTTGGACTCCACGACCCTAGGAAAAAGACCTTAGCTATTCACCTTATCCATGCCCCTCATGATTCAACAAACCTCTATAAGATCACCCCCCAGTCTCTGACGCTCTAGGGAAAAAAGCCACAGCCTATTTAGCCTCTCCCTATAGCTCAAATCCTCCAGTCCCAGCAACATGCTTGCAAATCTTTTCTGCACCCTCTCAAGTTTAACAACATCCTTCCAATAGAAGGGTGACCAGGATTGTGTGCAGTAAAATTTATTTATTTTATAAAATTTCTTAAATGCAGCTTTGGAAAATCAACATAATTTTTAATATACTGTGGGCTGGATTTTCATGAAGTTGTCACAAGAGTTCCTGATTCCTCAAATGCAACTCCATTAAGGAGGCCCCTGTCTCCATATTTTTGTTTGGGTGAAAGCGGGATGGAGTTGGGCATGCCTCTTCTGAAAGTGAGCAAATGGAGAGGTTGAAAGGCCTGCCTCTATTTATTGAGACATCACCTCAGTTTTATTGATGAAAGGTAAGCCCTCAAACCCTCCAGCGTCCTAGCCACTCTTCATGCCCCATTGTAGCTCCTGTATACGAGTTTTCCCAGTATTCGCTTTGTACACAGCCTTTGAGCCATTGGCAGGTCATTTGAAATGATCCTGAAACTGGCCAGTAATCAGAGGCTTCGAAAAGATCTTTCTGAAAATAAGAATAGCCACTTTTATAGGGTTGTAAGCAATCAACCGTAGCCATAGTCATAGCCATTGTTACAGAATCATAGGGACTCACAGCACAGAAAAAGGCCTCTTGGTCATTGAGTCTGGGCTGGTCAAAAACATTTATAGCACTTGGCCTAGATCCTTGTATGCCTTGGCATTACACCAGCACATCTAAATACTTTTTTAAATGTCGTGAAGACTTTTGCCTCTACCACCCTCTCACACAGTGAGTTCCAGATTCTCACCATCCCTTGGGTGTGAAAACTTTTCTTCTCGTCCCTCTTAAATTTCTGTCCTTTACTTAAATCTGTGTCCCTAATTTAATCTATCGTATCAATGTGAGAAACTTTGCTTTGTGATCTAAAGAAAAGAAACTATTAGGGTTTGAGGGTGAGTTAGGTAATCTCATTAAAGGTATGACGGTGGCCAGGCAATGGCTAATAATGATACGATGAATGCATGCATTGCAACGGTTTGTACCTTCCATCCTACCCAAAAAATTGAAAAGTAGCCCAACCATAGCAACAAAAAATTAAGGATAGAGGAAGTGGGCTGATCTCAAGCCCCACATCTTTGGGATTACCACAAATGTTAATGATTTAATCACAGCATGCACAGTGATCTGTCTATTGGAATCAAGTGAACAGAAAACATTGACTAGGTTCCTTCACTTAACGAAAACTGCTGTTTATTACAAATAACTAAGAATTACCAACAGGTGGTTCTACTTGTTAAAACTCTAATCTTTTTTAACCCCTACATGCACAGACGTTCATAGATATAGACAAAGACAAACAAAACAAAATCTGGTTTTACAGGTGGGAGAAAAGTACTGGGAGCCACAGTATAATAACACAGGCCATAGGGTTTGCTGGGATGGTCCTTTTAGCTTGCCAGGACTTTCTATTCTTCAATTTCTTATCTCCAGGCTCCTTCATTTCTTCACCAGATGCAGATTGACTGGTATACTAACTGAAAAGTCAT